TCCATCCTATTCCAAATCCATCTTCCACATGGCTGCCTAACTCAGGCACATGTCTTATCATGCAGTTCCTCTCCAAGAGACATCAGTGGCTCCTTATTACCTCTAATATAAAATGCAAAATATCTAAGATATCGACTCTTATGTTTGATAATTAAAGCCCTTCATAATCTGTCCTCACTTCATCTTTACAGCAAATGTACCTGAGAGTACTCTCCTTCATGCATTCTATTTCTAGTCAAACCAGACTACTTGCTGCTCCCAATAAAACACCATCTCTCCTACCTTTATGTCCTTGGCCAGAATATCCCTCATTCTGAAACGTGTCTGCCTCCTTACCTGGGCCTCCTGAGATCCATAGCTTACTTTAAGTCTCAATTCAAATGTTTCTCCTGCAGGAAGCCTTTCCTGATCTTCCCTTTCATTAGTGCTATCCATTGGCCATGAAATGACTTTGCCTGTACTTTGCACATATTTTGTAATTACTTGTCCATGTACCTGCTGTCCCCTTCCCCTCTAAAGAATGTAAACACCTTGAAGGAAGGAACTGAGACACTGGTTTTCACTTTGGCTTTGTCTCCTTGCCTAGCACAGAGCTTCCATTTAGTAGACACTTGAATTGAAATGAATTAAATCATCATATTATTCTTAGGAATTATCTAGGAAAAAGGGATTGTAATGGGTTTTCTTCTTGGTAATGGGGGAGGGAATTCTTGAGCTTCTTGCAAAAAAATATTATCCTAATTATTTTGATTTTGTTAGTGAAGCCCATTGAGATCCCTGGACAAGGTTGGCGAAGTGCAGACAGGATGTTTTCCTTCCCAACAGAACAAAGGATGCACAGCTGGACAGAACTCAGCCATTCTGTGTAACATCAGATTTTGACCTGTTTATACCTACCTACTTGGAGCAACACTACAAGAAAGGGGAGAAGCCTATACAGCTGCACTTCTGAATGGTCTGCATATTTGCCTGGTACTTTATTCTATCTTATTCTATCCTATCTTTTGCTCTCCATCACCTGTGTTTTCTTCCTAGGCTAAGAGGTCTTATTCCTGAGCCAATTCCTGGTTGGTGCTCTGAATACTCATTATTTTCCTTCTAGTACCCTTGCTTCAGATGATAAACCCATTTGGTTTATCTGCAATTCAGATTACGAGCTATGATCCTTCTTAGATTAGCTATCTCTCACTAGAGGTCTCTCTGGCCTTCAAAACCGTACAATGAAAGTAAACATTCTGAAAGGCGACCTAGCCCTAGCAGGGAACAGGGGGCGCAGGGGACAGACATGACTGTGATGTATGATGATATTCCTGAAGAAAGTCAAAACCATTTGGAGAACAGGTTTTGATGAATTGCAGGAAATTGCAGATTTGCAACCGTTCCAGAATTCCCATGGACTGATTGTCATTGGGCGATGATAAGAGCTGTAGTGAACACAACAAGGAACTACAGTTATGGCTCAGGCAGAGGCTCCCTGTGAGTCGCCCATTATAGCATTTACCTTTAGGAGAAGTGTTTTAGGAGGGATTTTTAGTTTGTGTTTTAGTTTGTGTTTAGATTGTGTTTGTGTTTACTTAGTATAGTTGTGTTTAGTTTGTGTAAGTTTAGTTTGTGTTGTTATTGTTGTTGTTGTTATAACCTATGATTTGTTCATCTATTCTGGCTATCCAGTAAAATTACCTACCATTGAGGCAGGGATGTGACTTATTCCCACAGCCAAGCTAATTCTCTTTCTCTTATGGTATCCTCTTCCCCTGACAGAAAGGAAGAATGCTTTCTCTCTGTGCTTCCCTATAAGTTATTACACAAGACAAGGAGTGAGCTGGACATGTTGGCCTCTTTATTATCTGAATCTAAAAACCAAGCAAGGTTGAGATGACATTGCAACCAACCAAAGGGTGGAATGTGATGTTAGCAACTGAGACAAGTAGCCAAACACAGAGTTTGGAACCAGGCGACTCCTAGAGATAAATAAGATTGCAAATGTCAAAGTAGAAGTGCAACAGGCTTGTATGTGAGTGTGGCTGGTTACTCTTAACCTCAGTGCTGTTTGACGCCGAAAGCTTGGCATGGCATAGTGGGGTTTTTCATCACAGACCTAAATTCAAAGGAGTTAAGTCATTGATGTTTTAAAAGGTTCTCTTTATAAAGCAGTCATGTCAGTGACTCACCAAGAACAACTGAGTCGAAGACAACTGGAGACAAAGACTACTTAGTAGCACTAAGCCTTCCATCTGTCTTCCTAGGCCTCCATTTTCCCTCTCTTTAAATAAATCTACGTTAGAGGGAAACAAATAACACCAGCCATAATAATGATGTGCATTTGTAGGGTGATTTTTTTTTTACTTCCAAACCAATTTCACTTTCATTATCTCATTTTTCCCCCTTAAACCAGCTCTGTTGGGGTAGGTAGAACTATTACTGCCTATATTTTATAGACCCATAGACACTGACACTCAGAAGAAGGGACCTAAGATTAACTAAAGCTATCATCCCATGAGCCTACATAGCTACTTAGTGTCATAGCTTGGACTAGAAACTCAGTATCTCAAAGAGGAAGCATCCTGGTGTAACTCTAATGAGGATAGAATGTTGGACTTGTACTCCAGAAGATCTGGGTTCAAATATCACCTTGGACAAGTCAATTAAGCTGTTTCTCTAGGCCTCAGCTTCCTCATTTTAAAACAGGTTTGTCCTTCTTGATGACTTCTACAATCCCTTCTAGCTTGAAGCCTCTATTCTCTAGCCTGGGAATCTTTTTATTCTACAGAATATCATTACCTGTAACTCTAAAGTCTTCATGATTATGCAAAGGATCTTCATTTAGGGGAGATGGAGAGAGCAGGAAGTTGCTTAAATTCCTTATGAAATTCTACCTAACATCCTAATGGTATTGTGAAGCCATTTTTTTTTCATTTTTTTTTTCCAAATTCAGATTTAAGGCACAATTCAAGTTGTGTTGTGTGGCAAACTGGAAAGAGTACTGGATGTAGAGTCAGAGATTTTAATCCTGACTTTGATACTTGTTACCTTATTGACCTTTGACAAGTCATAACCTTCCTGGGCATTAGTTTTCTATCCATAAGATGAGTGCTTGAATTATTATCTTTCAGATGAGGCTTTCTCTGACTGCTCTGGCCCATAGTAATCCTCTCTTTCTCAGATCCTCTGAAGATTATCTCCAGTTTATTCTCTCTATTGCTTGTTTGCACGTAATTGTTCTCATGTTGTTTCCCCCATTAGACTGTAAGATCCTTGAGGACAGGAACTGTCTTTTGCCTTTCTTTGTATCCTCAGTGCTTAGCACAGTGCCTGGCACATCATAGGCACTTAATAAATGTTTATTAATGGACTGTATCAAAGCAGCTCAATTCTGGATACTTAATTCTATTCCATTCTGCACTGGGTGCTATTGTTTCGTGAATGTTCGTTGTGTCTCCTTGGCTAGACTAGAAGCTTCTTTAGAACATAGACCTTGTTTTCGGCTGCCCTAGATTTAACATGGTGGCAGGCATATAGTAGATGCTCAGAGGTGCTGATTGCAATTTCTCCTCTTTTTTTTTTTTTTGCTTTTTGGTGAGGCAATTGGGTTAAGTGACTTGCCCAGGATCACACAGCTAGTAAGTGTCAAGGGTCTGAGGCCGGATTTGAACTCAGATCTTCCTGACTCCAAGATCAGAGCTCTATCCACCGCACCACCTAGCTGCCCCCCCCCAATTTTCCTTTTATCTGGTCAATCCAAAGAGGGGATTTTGGAGGAACAAACCCAGACATTACAAAAAGAGGATTAAATTATCAAAGCCATAAGGAGCTTTAACAAAAACCTATAGCATTTTAATATGGCCAGCTATTTAGGAAGTGGTGACAATGTGCAATGCTCAGAAAGGGGAAGCCTCTGAGGTGCTGTGGTAATAATGCAGTTACTTAAAGAACATTTAAGCTACAAATAGTTCTGTGGTTTTTTATTTGGTTCCACTCTGTAGTTTCTCCGAGAACTTTCTCAAAGCTTGGAGAATCACTCTTAAATTCCAGGCTCAGCCCAAGCTCCAAAAGCCCCAGAGCTCTCATGTCCCCACTTGTGTATTTAGCAAGGGAGATGTCTAAGCCAGAAGGTGACAAGGAGACATGGAGGAATACTGATAGAAGTCTGGGGGAAAAGGAGCTGTCTCTGAAAGTGCAAGAAGGGTCCAACTCTTGGCATAGAAAGACAATTAAAAATGGGGAAGTTGCCACAATCAAGTTCTGAGCTCACTTGTCATAACACGTGCTACGAGTCAAACCCTGTGGTGGGGTGGGTTGGCCTGCATGGAGAGAAGTTGTTTGTGGGGAAGCTTTGGGAGTGTTTGCCTCAAAATTGAAATTATCACTCTAGTGTTGAGAATGTTGACTAACTCACCATTAAAAGAACCAGCTGGACAGGATTAAAAAGAAAAGACATAATTAGAAATGGTTTTTATCCCACTAAGCATTCAGGGCTTTTTTTTGGAGGGGAGGGGAAGGGAGGGGACTCACTGTTCTAAGGTCAGAAGCCCTTGGCACAATTTTTGTCTCTCTGAGATGCGATGGACATAACGATCTCTTCGACTTTTAAAGGGGCCTCAGACCAGCTTTGCATGGCCAGAGCAAGAAAAAATGGACATAGACTCCATGGAAGCATAACTAGGACTTTGTGTGCCCAGGAATTGACTTGGGAGGAAGAAAGGATGGCTAGTTGGTCAGCTTGTCTTAACAATATCATTTATTCCCGTGGCTTCAACTAATATTTATGCATCCTAAATGTCCTTCTTTAATACTACCCTCTCTTCTGAGCTGTGGACCCCCTCTGTTCCCCATTCTTCAATTGCTTACAAGGTAACTCTGCCTTATGTCCAGTGAGCATCTCACGCTCCAAATGTCCAAAGTTGAGCTCCTTCTGACTGGTTTCTTTACCCCTTTGCTCCTGTCTGACACCATTGCTGGGAATAAAAGTGTTTCATAGAAGAAGTAGATGGACCAGTTGATACTGAAAGCAATAGGTTCTTTTATTTGACATGGTTAAAAGGATGTTGCTTAACTGGAGACACTCAAGGGGGTTGGGGGAGGGGCATTGCTGGTAAGTAGAACAAAAAAGGAAGGGCACTAGGGTCTTTCCTATTGGGCTAGGATTGGGCTAGGGCCCCACACTTAGGCCCCAAAGCAGAGCTGGGAAGTACAGGGGAGAGACACAATCAAGAATTTCATCAGGGAACCTCTGGTTTGATGGTCTTCAGGCTGTCTCAGGAAAAAGAAGTCCATAGTGATCCAGGACTTCTCAGTCCATGATTCAATATAGCTCACTTATGGCAATTCAGGTGTTTTATAAGGAGTAGAAGGTTTCCATTCAGGTGGGCATGATTGGCTTTCCAAGCTTTAGACCAAAGAGAGAAGATACCAGTCAGTCAATCAATCATTCAATTAATGAGCATTTATTAAGCACCTATTTAATGTGCTAGGCCAAGTACTGAGGAATATATTAACAACCAAAAAAAAAAATGAAACAATCTCTGTCTTCAAGGTATTTACATTTTATCATGGAAATAACATATGCACATAAAAGTGTACATAATAGAAACACTAAGTGATTATTAGGAGGTAGCATGGCATAGGGATCAGATGGACAGCCTTGGAGTCAGGAAAATCTGGGTTCAGATTCCAGTCCTGACATTTACTAACTAAATCATCACAGATAAGTCAGTTAATTTCTCAGAGTCTCAGCTTATCTTTAAAATGGGGAGAACAATTACTGAAGAGTCTACCTCCCAGGATTATTATGAGATTCAAATGAGACTTTGCAAACTTTAAAATGTTACACACATGCCAAACAGTCAACATAGCTTACTATGCATGAAGCACTGTGCTAAGTGCAGGAGATACAAAGAGAAAAAGCAAGACAATCCTTTTCTTTCAAGGAGATCATATTCTAATTGGGTGAGACCATATAAAACAAAATTCAACAGCAAAGTGGAAAGGGGGCAGGGCTAGAGTTGGTGGGCACCAGGCAGGGGGACACATAATGGAATATGATAATTACTGTTCACCCTGTCGCACATGTTCAAACTACAGGAATATAGATAGATAGATAGATAGATAGATAGATAGATAAATAGATAGATATAGATATACACCCCACATATATTTATATATATGTATATCTGCGTGTGTGTGGATGGATGGATAGAGATCGATAGAGGTCTATAGATAGACAGGGAGAGTGAGAGAGAGAGAGAGAGAGAGAGAGAGAGAGAGAGAGAGAGAGAGAGAGAGACAGAGAGAGAGAGAGAGAGACAGAGAGAGAGAGAGAGAGAGAGAGGTCTAGATTCCTTTCTCTCTTTTTCATTCCTCCCTCTTCCTCCTGTAGTTACCAAGTCCTGCAGATTTTACCTCTGGTATATAGGATCCCAGGACTATCAAATTTAGATTTGGATAGAATCTGAGAGATTAACCAGTAAGATATACCCACTTTCAGAGGAGGAGACTGAGGCCCAGAGAAGACTGACATTGAAGCTCACTCCTCCCCCAGTTACAAACTGGAGAAATGGAGCCCTGGAACGGAGCGCCCATTCATCATTGGGAGAGGGTCTCTCTCTCTTATCTATCTCCACTACCATATTTCTACCATGATCACCATAGTATTTGCTTTCATTACCACCCACCTGGAGTATTAGCTTCTTAAGCAGTCTTTCTCTTCTCCAACCTTGTCTTCCATGCATTTTCCCTGGCTCTTGGGAGCCAGGCCTAGAGTTCTGTCTCTCCTTATCTCCTAGTTTCTCTAGCATCCTTCAATTCTCAGCTAAAATCCCATCTTCTTCAAGAAGTTAATCCCTTCCCTCTGTTGATTATTTCCAATTTATCTTGCACACATCTTGTTTCTACATAGCTGTCCACATGTTGTCTCCCCGGTGAGATGATGAGCTCCTTGAGAGCAGACACTGTTTTATGTTTTTGCCTTTCAGTACGTCTTCTGAGCACAACACAGTGCTTGCCACTGGGTAGCTACTTCATAAAAGTTTGTTGACTTACTTTGTGTCATTCTCAGAATCATGTTTTTCTTGCATAATTACAGTCATGCAGAAATCTCCCACGAGTCCCTATTGACTAAATAGGAAAGGTGTCATTCTTTTGCCTGGCGTTCTAGAATCTCCACAAGTTGGCGCCACCCTCTCTTTGTAGCTTTATTTCATTTTGCTTCACGTCGAGCAGTGAAACTGGACCACTCTTATTCCTTCAAATACACCTTGCTCTTTCCGTGCCTCTGAGCTCAACTGATCCCTTTACCAGGGAGGTTATTCCTCGTTCTTTCTGTGACTATTGAATTCCCATCGTAGATCTTGACAGGTGATGGTGATTTTCCAAAAAAAAAAAGTCACCTAACACTTTGTTTTATAATATTCTAATGCAATGAATAGAGTGCTAGGCCTGGAGTCAGGAAGGCTTATCTTCATGAGTTTAAATCCAGACTCAGACACTAGCTGTGTGACCCTGGGCAAGTCACTTAACCCTGTTTGCCTTAGTTTTCTCATCTGTAAAATGAGCTGGAGAAGGAAATGGCAACCCGCTCCATTATCTCTGCCAAGAAAACCCTAATCTGATCCAACTGTTCCATCACAAAGAGTTGGATTGGACTAAAATGATCTAACAACAAACAAAAATGCATTTATCATATATATTGAATGTTAGTTTTCTGTGCTCTTCTCTTACTCACCTACTACATTACAAGCTATAATGGGGGATGTATAAATGCACACCATACTATTAGAAATAGATAGGGATAGTGTATTATTTAAACTTTGTATCTCTTCCCAGCATCAATCACAGTGATTTTTGCTCATAGTCGATTCTTAATGAAACTTTTTGAATGAATCGATGGATATCAAGGTAAGAGCAACATGTAGAAGGCACTGCTATTTAACTGTATCTTGTCTTTTAATTTGGTCTCTCCAACTTGACTGTTAGGCTTCACTGCCATTCTTCTCTGGGCCTTGGTTTACTAATCTAGATATTAGGTATGTTTGACTGGGTGATCTCTCCAGTTCTTTCCAATTCTAAATTTGATGGACCTGTGATCCTTGTATCAGAGTAAAATCTTCAGGACTTGATAACTACATGAGGAAGGGGAAAGAGTCAAAAATATCCCCAAGGTTCTGAACATACGAGATTGGGCGAACAGTGATTATTGCATTCCAGAAAAGAAAAAAAAACCAGCTAGTTTTCCTAGACTAATATTTCTCTGTCCAGCAGGCTGTCTGTTCCTTAGCCATATCCTCTCCTCCTGCCTGGTACTCAGCTACTCTTACCCTGTTCCCTTTTCCTTAAAGGCAGGTAACAATATCTTAAGCTTCTTTTGTGTTTGGTATTTAAAATATCCCTATGCATCTAGTAGGCATTGAATAAAAACCACAATGAGTACCATCATGGCAGTTTTAGTATCAGATTCAAAGTTCCAGGATAATCATGCTATTACTGATTGATCTCTCAAATGTCGGATCATGGATGGTTTAGCTGTGTGCCCAGGACCGCTTGGTATGGCAAACAAACCAAACAAAACAAAAACCCTCCACTGCTTTTAGAGTGAGGGCTCCTGAGTTCAAATTCTACCTCTAATATTTACTTATTTGAGAGAGCCTGGGCAATTGACTAAACTTCCCTGATCCTCCATTTAAAAAAAAATAGTAATAGCTAACATTTAGATGGTGCTTGTTTTATGCCAGATACTGTGCTAAATATTTTACATCTCTTCTGATCCTCACAGCAACCCTGTAAGGCGAGTGCTATTACAGATGAGGAAACTGAGGCAGACAGACATTAAGTGGCTTGCCCAGGGTCGCATAGCTGGCTAAGTGTCTAAGGACAGATTTGAACTCAGGGGTTCCTGACTCCAGGTCCTGGGCTCTATTCACTGAGCCGCCTAGCTGTCCTATGTCTAAGATGAATGTGTTGGACTAAATATCCTCTCGGGTCCCTTCCAGTTCTAGATCTATGACCCCTAAAACTTTTCCTTTCAGCATAATAATGACTACCATTGATAGAGTGTTTTAAGGTTGACAAAGCACTCTAATATCTGCTCTGCTACTTAAATAGCAGCCCAACTTATACAGCGGTTTGTAATCATCGTTATCCAGGATCTTTTATTGCGATAAAAATAACAAATTACATTTACAAAGTACTTAAATGTTTGCAAAGCAACTTGCTAATCTCACTTAAGCCTCAGGACAACCCTGTGTAGTGAGTGATACAATTATTATTATTCCCCCGTTTCATATATGAGTTAACTGAGGTGAACAAGCTTAAGGGATTTCTCAAGATCACACAGCTGGTACTTAGTAGCTCGTCAGAATCTAAGATGGCATTTTAATCTAGGTCTTTCTGACTCTAAGTCCAGCACACTGCCTCTCTGCAAAATATTTTAAAAGTGTGTAGCACAGTGTCTAGCATGTAGCAAATGCTTAATAAATGCTTATTTCCTCCCTCCCTTCCTTCCTTCCTTTCCTCCCTCCTTCCTTCCTTCCTTCCTTCCTTCCTTCCTTCCTTCCTTCCTTCCTTCCTTCCTTCCTTCCTTCCTTCCTTCCTTCCTTCCCCCTCCCTCCTTCCCTCCTCCCTCCTCCTCCCTCCTTCCTTCCTTCCTTCCTTCCTCACTCCCTCCTTCCTTCCTTCCTTCCTTCCTTCCTTCCTTCCTTCCTTCCTTCCTTCCTTCCTTCCTCCCTCCCTCCCTCCTTCCTTCCTTCCTTCCCTCCCTCCTTCCTTCCTTCCTTCCTTCCTTCCTTCCTTCCTTCCTTCCTTCCTTCCTTCCTTCCTTCCTTCCTTCCTTCCTTCCTTCCTTCCTTCCTTCCTTCCTTCCTTCCTCCCTCATACTGGTCTTAGATGAATATTCTTTCCCTCTTGCGTGCAATTTCTGGTGTTCTCATGTTTTTTTCCCTGCTTTGGTGTGAATAATTAAATTCTCTGCATATTATGGGTGGCTATCCTATTTATCAATGAAAATTACTTTCTTCTGATAAGTATTCAAATAGCTTCTTAGTCTGAAAAAGCCTGAAGTCTTTAAATAGATTTTATCTAAATAACTCAAGACTGGCACATAGGCTGCCAATTGCTATCACATAACAGACCACTGGGGACATCAAAGGTGGAAACCACATCTCTTTATTCACAGTCCTACCTTCAATTTGCAACTTTAATGAAACTTTCAGAATTGCATCCCCTCTGTGATAATTTTTATAGCATGGCACTGGTATGGATTTAGAAATATTGTACTTCGGGGCCTCGTTCAAGTAGTACTGATAACTTTTCCAAGTTCAGTCTCTACATAATTTTCATATACAGACCAGGGCAGGGAAGGGGAGGGATCCTTAATGACACAGCTCATGTTGCTATATCAGCATTGTATATTAGCTAATTATTGGGATGCTGATGGGGGTGGAGGAGGTGTCCCAGTGGAATCTTGAAGGCTGTGTGAATCATTGACATGGTCCTAGCAATCGATGGCAGGGACCCAGAGATTTAATTCCAGACCTGACACTAATTTTCTGGATGCCTCAGACTCATTCATTAATCTCTCAGTCTCATCATTCCTTTCTTGGAAGGAGGTAGATTAATGGGATATTTTATACATGCACCCATTTATGACAGCACACCTTATAATAGGACACATTATAATAGCACAGTTTTAGGGAAATAGTCATAAGGAGGGAACTGAAAGGCACTTCATGTTCTTCACTCCATCTGGACATAATGGTCCATTCCTTTTGCTTGTACTCTCCATAATCAGGAATGGGATCTGAAACCCTGTGAGATTCCAACAGAAAACAAACAAAAAAACCCCACCATGAGTCGCTGTGTTTCATGAGAAGTGCTATGTTCTCGAAGACTCAGCATTTTAGAAAGTAATAACAACCATCAACAAATACACCTAAAAAGGGAACATGACAACATAGAAAGAATTCCATCCAACCCAGGAATAATAAAAATCAAAATATCTGTCTTTCCCAGGAGGAACGTTTTCATTAGTCATGGTGAATGTGAAGCTGGACCTCGTTGCATTAGGAGTTTGACTAAAACTTGCTGCTGAGCAAAATACTCGGTTATGAAATTTTACAAATATTTTATTGCATCAGCATGACTTATATGAGGCTAGGGAGGACAGTTCAATAATCGGGAAGGTGTCATTCTGGATGAACTGCATTGCGTTATCTCTGAGAAAGTTCTTCTCCAGCCCACCTCTATAAATTCTCTAGCTCCCCAGGAAGAGATGAGGAAATTCTGAAGCAAGCTCAGGTCACATCTACACTGACCCTACAGGAGACAGACTTAAACGAGGCTCAGCCTTTGAATCAGTTCAGTCTTAACTGGGAAAAAAATGCAGTCCCAATAAAAATATTCTGGTTTATTTTATTTATTTATTTTTTATTTCCTTACCATTTCCTTAGTCATGTGCCTATGGATATGAGTTTTAGAGCTGGAAAATATCTATTATTAGGTCATTCTTCTCCACCACCCTAACCCCACAAAATTTGTCTACATCATTCCTCAGCCGTCTTTTTAACCTTGAAGATCCCTCAGCGCCCTTCTCTGGGTGAGTTCCTCCTTGGAACCTCCATTTGAGGAAGCACCCTAGCCACCCATGCTTCTTCTTCCTTTTGGCTCGGCTCCAGCCTTTCCAGACTTTTCTCCCTTCTCCCTCGCGCTTTTCAGTCCTCTTTTGAGTGTTTTTCCCCCCATTAGTATGTAAACTCCTCGGGGGCAGGGGTTGTTTTTGCTTGTATTTGAATTCCCAGTTCTTAACACAGTGCTGGCACATGTGCTCAGCAGTGTCTGACTCTTGATGACCCCAGTTTTTTTTTTTTTTTTTTTGCAAAGATATTGGAGTGGTTTTTCATTTCCTTCTCTAGATCATTTGACAGATGAGGTAACTGAGGCAAACAGGATTAAGTGACTTGCCCAGGGTCATACAGCTAGTAAGTATCTGAGGCCAGATTTGAACTCATGAAGTCTTCCTGATTCAAAGCCCAGTGCTATATCCACTGTGT